TTATTTATGAAAGATGAAAAGTAATACTATTGTGTTTGTGGGGATAGTTTTTAGTAAGTTTAATTGTGGAATTAGAAGTCTTACATATTTCTACATCCCTGCATACCATTTGGTTTAGGAAAATTTCCTTTGTACACAACATGCTGGAAACACCCAATAAATGCAATCATGTGTGTGTGTGTGTTATTATGGTATATTTTTTTGAATATTTTTCTTGATTTTCTCATCTGGAACAAGGATGCTGAATTGAATTAAAATTCTGAAAGCTCATTGATGTGAAAAAATGTAATTAAGCACTGGCTGACATTTTAAAAATTTTATGTGTTTGGTTGGATGATAAGGACTGTCAAGCAAATCATTTTAACAGGTTTAGGTCTGTTATTATAGAAAAAGCACTGAGACAGCATGTTTTCTTACCACGGACTAGCTAGGAATTGTAATAAAATTCTGTCATCTTCCTTTATTATCTGTTTTCCTTTCCTGTGGGGAATAAGACAGTATTTTAAGCTTCTGCTCGTCTAATTAAATTGCATTTCTCCTGTATTCTCTCTTTTCTATTTTGTATTGAAATATATTACGAGAAAAGATCTATTATTTTTATTACTCTAGCACTGTTTTTGTGATACTAGATTTCATTCTGTAATTGATCATTTTAAGTCCTTCATCCAGTCTAGATTGAAAAAGATAAAGGATTGAATATTCTGCCACTGAAAAGACAGTCCTTTAATCTTCTTCACTTTTTGCTATTTGAATAGAAATGTAGGAGCAGCCTTACTGGGAAATCTATCAATCCATTTAATTTACTAAACTTGCTCAGACTGAACAATATTGATAGATTTCTGGAAAGGATATGGAGACAGAGGAAATGAATAGCAATTGCCAATCAATTCTGGTACTTTAAACAGGAAAGACATGTCACCAAAGGGACCTGTGGCTGATTCAGAAAATGATCTGGTTTTGTTTCTTAGCTGTGGACATCTCTAGGTAATCACAATGTGTCTACTTGTAACCCCCAGACTTAAGGTTAATTTCAGAAATTGTCACTTGGAGAATAAACAGGTTAACTTTGTATTGACACAACGTTTTGTGCCTGCCTTAAAATCCCAAAGAGTTTATCCTGTGTGCAATAAAAAAGCTACCGGTTTTATAATGAGGATAGCATTAACTTGTCACTGGAGTTACAGACTGAAAGTACAATAAGAACTGTGTTAGAGAAGCACATATAATTTGGTGCACAGACAAATTCGGATTGAATGATAGTATTTTTTTAATTTTCATCTTTTAATTTTTTTTATACAAATACATACATATGCGCACACAGGCAACCAAGGACTATTATAATAGTGAAATGCTAAATCAGAAGAGGAATGTTTCTTATTTATCTAGTAATATATAAAAGCAGGCCAATTTCACACAAAATTATGAGTGTTGTCTTCTTTCCTTTACTTGAATGTACCTTGAATAAGTCAGAACATTGCATTAACACTAGATATAAGATGTATTTGGGGGTGCTCAAAATCCCTACTCCTCTGAATACACATCTAAATGAATGGAACTTGTCATGACTAAACTAAATCCTATTAATTTCAGTAGTTCTATTTAGCTCCCAACAGTGAACCTGGAAGTTCACTGTTTTCTTGAGATAAATATTTCTGAAATAATGCCATTCACATATTTGTATTTTTAAAAAGTAGTATTGTAAATGTCCACAGAGCACAGCTGAGATTTTGAGATATGCTTCAATTTGTTTTGCTTTCATCATGCAACACATACAAAAATGCAGCAATTTCCTTTGTGTTACTACCAGTTTCAATACTGTGGAAAATACTTGTTGCTCCTCTGATGTAATGGGGGAAAAGAGGGTAAACAATCTTCCAGGTTAAAAATAGAATACATGCTCAGGCCAATTGGGGGGGGGGGGAGGTATCTAGACTGACAGCATTGAGTTCTCCTTTCTTCTAAGAACCATGACAAGGATAATTTCATTTTCTTGAATTTTTGGAGTTAATGTGGAAAATTGCTTCTTAATCAGGAATTGGAATAGAGGCTTTTGTGTTGCCAGAACAACAGCTAGCTAGGACAACATGTCCCTTGCCCAAAGGCCTAAAATATTTATTTAAGACATATTTAGCCTGCCATTCTCCATAGCCAGAACCAAAGTGGTTTACAATGGTGGAGGCTCCTTCTTTGGAGGCTTTTAAACAGAGGCTGGATGGCCATCTGTCAGGGGTGCTTTGAATAGTGTTTTCCTGCTTTTTGGCATGGGGTTAGACTGGATGGGCCACAAGGTATCTTCCAACTCAATGATTCTGTGATTCTAGGATTCTATACAACACATAATATCAACAATAAAACTTAAAATGCAAAGGTTAAAATATACTACCACATTATTATATTTTATTTTTATTTAGATTTTATTTATATGTATTCAGAAAGAACCAATAGTTGTAAAAATAATCAGGCCAACTGCTCTGTATCCAAACGATGTCTGAATGCAGTCTTCAGCACTTCTAAGTAGAACTGGGAATTTGTTCATTTATGTGTGGGCATCCCAGACAACTACAGAAAACTTTCCAGCATTTCACAGATAACAGTTGGGACACATGTGGCAAAGCAAAATTAAAGTATGTTTGTGATGACAGGTTGTTAATGCGGAAGATGTCATAAACTAGGAGAGGCTACTAGGCATGCTGTTTTGGGTTCCATTTTCAGATAACCTCTCATTCAGTTTTCTGGGAAGTTATCGAATTGGGAGAGATATTTCCATTGTCATTCGGCAAAGATTTTGGCCCATTGGCTACAATGGAATATTTTAGAGGCTCAATCCTCAGCCATTTTAAGGCTTATCTGCACGAAACCTACCTCGACCCCATTTACAACTGCAGGCCTGCCAAGTTTAACAATTCAACAGTTTACCAATTTTTAAAGAATTATTTTAAGTTTTAACCAAAACATTTTTAAAAAAATGTGACAAACCTCAAGATAAGGTTTTTGGAATTGTAGTTGCCGGTTGTGTCTATTCTCAGGCAATCAGAGCATGGACACAATCAGGCCTTTTATTGGCTGAGAAACAAAGAGAAAAAAAAACTTCAACTCCCATTATGCTCCAAGAGGAACTCAGAGACTTTCCAGTGCCCGCCCCATGTAAGTGCTTTTGAGAAAGTGAGTTCCTAGCAGGGTACTCTCTGAAGGAGGAGCCTAGGTAGCTTTTTCCAGAAGAAATGGATGCTGCTGCTGCCAGGAAGAGAGACAGGGCTCTACAGTTAATCCCATTTTTTTCTAGGAGCCCCTGTGGCAGACCCCTGCCTCAGATATATTGCAAAATTAACTCCATCCTCTCCAGTAGCTGAAAAATCCATTTTGGCTGGCTTTCCGGTTCCCACCCCCCATCCTGTTTTCAGTGGAATATACAGAATTAACCACCAAATTTTAGAGATCACTTTTGTTCAAACTGATCCGTGCCCAAGCCTAGAGGCTACAGCAACTTGTTTTTGCTTGAGCCTCTTTGTAGGGCAAGCTTCTGACCCTCCTTTCTTTTGCACAGCTGAATTGATTGACATCAAACTATTTTTGTAGTTGGCACTCCCGCTTTTAAGCAAGTGAAGTAAGTGGAAGACTAAAGGGGAAAGTGGCAGGAAAAGAGATAAACTGGGCAGTTTAAAGAGTTGAAAATGTAGGGGGACAGGTAATTAATCAAGATTGTGTTTGCCAAATCAAGACAATAGAGAATGATACCTGCTGGACAGATTGTCCAACCTGGTATTTGGCAGCTGTAGTCATTATTGTCACCATCAACATGGCTGTTAAGATTTGGAATAAAAGGATGGCAATGTTAGTAACAGAAAGGATGATCTAAAAGCATCTCAAAGGCTTCAAACTGAAGAAGTCTGGTGTAAGAAGCTGATTACCTGAATGAAATCATGGCCACTTTCCTTTATTTTTGTTCAAAATGCAAGGCATAAGCTTAAGAATATATAAAACCATCCTTTCTTGGAGTTACAGCAAGGCAGCAAGAGTCATTTAAAATCTGTTTCTGAAAGATGTTTCACTTGACTCTCTATAGCAGTTTCTCAAACTCTGCTGCCCCAGATGTTTTGACTTCAGCTCCTACAATTTTAACATCTGGTAAACTGCCTGAGATTTCTAGGAGTTGACGTCCAAAACACCTGAAGGAACACAGTTTGAGAAACACTGCTCTACAGCATGGAAGATATAGACCATTTTCCAACTTAGCACCTCTGAACTTCTCTTTCATGAGAGTAGAGAACAGGTAAATGTTAATGATAGATAATAAAGATAAAAACAATCAGTAATACAGATTAGCCATTATAGTTTATATGTCATTGGGCTCTGTGTGCATGTGTGGGTGTAACTCAGTGTGTTGCTCACAAACAACATAAAAGAACAAGATATGCTAAAGTGGACAGAGGAACACACTTCAAATGTACTAGGTCAAGCAGCTTCAGATTCACCCTCAGGCATGAAACTTGCTGACTGACCTTATACTAATCACACATAGGTTTAACTTATCTCTGAAGGCAGCTCTGAACTTTGCAGGGGCAGAAAAGTAAATAAATAGTTAACATACATGCATAGTCACTTCCATTCAATTTATTTTATAAGATTTTTCAAGTTACTTGATTTTTAAATTTACTTTACATATGCACAGATGGCAGATGGTTCAGTAGTTCAGTAGTTGCATAGCTGCTGAGAAATGAAAAGTGCAGTGTCACTACTGCCTGAGGGAGATAGCAGCTTCCATTTAATGCTCTCTTCCTGAAGCACGATGTCTCACCATTGCATGCAACCCAATAACTTAAGAGGCTATTGCAGTTTCCTATGTCCTTAAATAATCTGTACGGTGTATTCTTGGAATGCTTATCTCAGAGGGATGGATGGAGGAGATAGCAATGTAGGAAAAGACATTGGAAATACCATATTTAATACTGTCAATGACAAACATGCTAATTTTTGTTCCTTCTTCCTTTCTTTTTGTGTAGGTTTATCCATGATGTTGGAGCTAACAGAAAGGAGTCATTGTCCCAATACAGCGGAGTAGACATAGAGCATCTTGCCACCTCTTCTTGGATAGTGACATCGGCATTAAGATAAGCAGGATCAAGGGATGGGCTTTAGGCCCAAGGACTCCCTTCCTTGTTGCATCTCTGGAATTGGTCGATGGTCAGTCTTTTGAGATATACATCATACTCCTTGGGAGTTTTCTTCCTGCGTTGCTGAAATTACCTGTTGCCCTTAATTCATTTTGCTTGGTAAAAAATCTTCCTCCCCCTTCTCCCCACCCATACTCTCACACACAATTTTTGGGAGATCATTTCCTGGCTTATCTGATTTTTCTGCCTGGGTGTAGAAGACATAGCCTGCTGATGTTGATGTAAACCATGTCAAGGCCAATGGGACTCTTATGGCTGCCTTTGATCTTTACTCCCGTTTGTGTCATGTTGAATTCCAACTTCCTCTTCTGGATCACTGCTCTGGCGATAAGGTTTACACTTATTGATGGACAAGCACAATATCCTGTTGTAACCACGAATTATGGCAAAATCCGTGGTGTAAGAACACCCTTGCCCAATGAGATCCTTGGTCCTGTGGAGCAATACTTGGGAGTCCCTTATGCCTCTCCTCCAACTGGGGAGAGACGTTTTCAGCCTCCAGAGCCTCCATCATCATGGACCGGTATACGGAATGCCACACAGTTTGCTGCTGTCTGCCCCCAATACCTGGATGAGCGGTCCCTGCTTAACGACATGCTGCCTGTTTGGTTTACTGCCAACTTGGATACTGTGATGACATATGTGCAAGATCAAAATGAAGATTGTTTATATCTAAACGTCTATGTGCCGACTGAAGATGGTAAGCATATTATTCGGTTGTAAAGCTGGCCAGTTATGCTGTCTGCTACAAAATAGTGAGGTTCTACTGTACAGGATTCTGCGCTTTCTTCTTCTCATGTTGAGGACTGGCTAATTTTCTTCTTGGCTCATGTTAGGTCAAAATATGATAAAATAATGGTAGGTTTGCATTTGATATGCTGGTATCACAATGATATGCTGTATACCTTCAATATCTAACACATTTCTACTTTCAGATGACACCTATATCCATACAAGTTTCACTACTATGGTTGTTCATAGAGGAAAAGTCAACAAATTATTTTTTTCAAAATGTCTTAAAGCCTCATAAAAAGGAGTAATCACATTGTGAAATATTAAGGTGCATCAGTATTAAATTAATATTATAGGCTGTCTAGATGAGATTGGAAAAATATCTATAATTAATTTTACTTAGAATATGAGGTGCATTTTTGAGGGAGGGCATCATTAATTTTGCCAGTGCTTGCTGTACAGGAAGCATTGCTTTATCATTATTAAATAAACATTTGCAGTATAAGACCTCATGATTTTTGGAAGAGAAATATTGTATAACATTGTTGACCCTGGCAATTTAAAATGGGCTAATCAATAGTTGTGGCAAAATAACAAAGAAGAACCAACAGTTGCTTTCAGAAGCAATGTCCTTCCTTAATATTTTCTATGTTGATTTCATTTAGTGGAATTTTCATATTATATTAATGTCTAGAATGTAATCTTCTTATTGTCACCTATAGTTGATTTGATTGGTTCATTGCATTGTTTTTCTCTGTCTAAAACATCGATTTCATAGTTGATTAAAATAATATGTTTCTACTTCATTTGATAAGGATAAAGTATTGGTACTGGTAAACTACCCAAATCAGATTATTTCATTTAGATCTGATTAATAAAATGTGCACTTTTCTTTGATTTTTTTTTAAAAAATACCGTTGCTTGTTACCTAAATGCATCATTTGATCATTGAGACTTCTGTAATTCTCTTGCTTTGCTACTTAATTGAGAAATTGTTCAGCCAACAATAATACAGATGATAAAAAGTAGGGGGAAAATCTAGAATCCCAAGACTCTATCAAGTTTTTACCATCAGTGTTGTTGCTTGCTGGAATGAAAATTTCACTGGTCACTTTATCCCAGATCTATTAATATAATCGCCACCACAAATAATAACAAAATAAACTATACTTGAAATCCAAGTCATGACCATTTCCTCAAACTGGGAACGACTTACCATATGTGCTCTACTGTGAACTCTATGCTTCCACCTGCTGTTTCTCTTGGCACACTGCAAAAGCTGAGCTGTTGCTTCAGGCTGATGTCCTCTCTTGAATCGTTCTTGCTCCTGCCTGTGACTTGCTTTTCCGCAGCTTCTGTTGTTTCCTTCTGAGAGGAATGGATGGGCCTTCAAGGTGAGATGCAGAAGATCCAAGGTTGAATATGAAGGGCCTTACAGTGTTGTAACCAAAGCAGTGAAAGAACAGCACAGCAGGGCAGCCATATCCTCTCGCTCCCACCCCCGTTGCAAGTGCGGTTTGTGGGGATGGGGAGAGAGCCTTCTTGGTGGTGCCCACCCTGGCTTCGGAACTCACTACCTGGGGAGATTAGGCAAGCACCCATCTTTTCAGCCTTTAGGAAAAGCTTGAGAACTTGGCTGTTCCACCTTGCTTTTGATGAATGACTAACAAATCCCCATACCATGACCGCCCCAGCATAAACTTGCCATCTCAATGCACTTTTCTTCATCCCCTAGCGGGAAAATTAAACCCCATAGCTCGTCCCATCCATATCTCCTACCAGATAAATTACTCCATTTATCTCACACAATCTCCCCTGTTTTTATCCTTGCATTTGGCCCAGCCCACTTTGTTCAACTCTTTGCTTTTAAATTTTCATCTTACCTCATACCCGGTGTTTTATCCCACTGTGTTATTTCTCTTTTATTGTTTGCATTTTATTTGAGTTATTTTCTACTGTATGTATTTTATTTTGTTTATTGTGTTTGTTGGGCTTGGCCTCATGTTAGCCACCCCGAGTCCCTGAGGGGAGATGGTGGCTGGGTATGAATAAAGTTTGATAATAATAATAATAATAATAATAATAATAATAATAATAATACCTTTAGTGGAATATCTTTGTGTCTCAAGTCTAGTGGGAAGAGGAGAACTCATGAGTCAACATTCTGAAGAAAAGCATTTTTCCAGAGTTCTCTAGCCACATACAATGCCTTTTTTTACAGTTCTCTAAAAAATGCAATATGGAATAATGTAAACTCCTAGTTAACCAGCACCCATAGGAATTAGTAAATGTTGGATCAATGTTATCTCTGGTGATTTAAGAGTTACTCTTTAAAATTGCCTAATATTATACTCCATACTATACCATACCATATTTTTAAATGATTTTTATTAGGGAATAACATAAATGACATTAAACAAACACTTATTAGACACAAAAATGATTAAAATATCTTATACATACCTAAGATACTGGTTTTTATACAATGAAATTGGGTGAACATCATAAAAAGAAAAGTGAGAGTATAGAGACAAAAAAGGAAGGGGAGGAAAGAAAAAAAAACCATACCATAATTTTTGTATTGACTTGATATTAAAAATGAAATATAATAATTAAAAGTACAAAGACAAAGAAAGACAAGCTTACATAATGTAACACAGATTGTCCTGTCTTTTCTTCCCTTCCCTTCCTTTCTCTTCACTTCTTTTTCTTTTCTCCCTTCCTTCCCCTCATACCTTTTCTCCTTTCTTTCTCTTACTTTCTTGTCTCTTTTTTCTTCCTTTCCCCTCCTTCTTTCCCTCTTCTTTTCCTCTTTCCTCCCTCTTCCTGTCCCTCATGCACATGTCTACTTTCTTTCCCAATGACCTCACTTCATCTAGCAACAGTCAATCCAGTGACATCACAGAAGGGACACTTCACCTAGCAACAGCTTTTGTGGTACAAATGGATACATATTCATATGTGCATGCACATGTTGGCATATAAAGAAGGTGGGGAGAGAAGATGATATTCCTGTCTGAGTGCTGTCACTTTAATTAACTGCTCTAAAATGTTTTCTGGTATAGATACCAGATTGACTGAACAGTTAACCCCCCCCCCCCCCCCCCCCCCCCCGCCTTTCTTCAGTCTGCTGAGATTTCCACTTATCCAGTTCTCCAGGAATGTTGCTGGTGGTTTTGAAATTACTTTTTGCGGTTCTTTTAGTACCCTCTGGACAACGAGTTTGCTTTCTAACAAATATCAATACAGTTGCAAACTCCCATTGCTCCTCCATTTACTCCATTGCTCTTTTCTGAATGTTTGTTCATCTATTCCAGGAAAGCAGCATCCACATTTGCATTGGTAATCTGCAATAGGCCCCAACAGTGACATCCTTCTTTCTCTTCCCTTTAATTTTTACACAAATGTCCCCAATCTACTTTCCAGGATTAAAGTCATGGATCTCTACACAGGTATAACCATAACAGACATGTAATGCTCATCTCTCTCTTTCCTCTTTATTTATCTGATGTAGGGTTTGTCATCTATTACTACATTCCAGTCATGACACTCCTCCAGTCAGGTTTCAGTATTCTTATTCCTATTCTGTCATATTTACTTTGCTGTTCTAAGAATTCAAGTTCATTTTGCTTATTTCCCACTCTTTGTATTAGTGTGGAGACATCTGAAACCCCGGGTCATTTCCCTTAGCTACTTATTTAGGGTTTCCCCCCTCCCAATGTTGGATTCTTCAATTATCTGCCTAGCTCTTGCTGAACTCCTGCTCTTTTTTACATAATTCTATGCATGTTGCTCACTTTTCCTGTACATGGAGGTTTTGAATGAAAGTAGTATTTCCAGAACAATTAACATTTGTTTCATGGTTTTGCACTTTCAGTCCCACTCCTTTCACTTATGCACCAAAATGCTTTTGGTTTTTTGGAGAAGCACAAACATTTGGTGTCATTCTGCAGCATGGCATAGGCAAAGGCTTTGACATAACTATTCTGGGGAAAACAAACAAGCAGAAGGCAAAAGAAGGATTTAATTTAAAAATAATATTCTGAGTTGAAATTTATCACCCAGTCATTAATTTACTTGCACTGGCTTGATGACAGATTTGTTCACTTAATTCTCAGTAACTTGAGATCTCTATGCTAAGCTCTTTTGTAATGCAATTAGCATGGTCTGCTACACTTTTGTTCTAAAGAGCTAAAGACTAATTCAAGAGATTAATTCAAGTAACAAGGGCTTGCGCACTAAAGACAAGTATAACACCAGCTGCCCCCCCCCCCCCAAACAGCTATGTATAATGGAAATGATCCAAAGCTTTTCAATGCACTTTTAATTATAGATGACCAAAAGAAACAATTGTCTCTCTACCCTTACACCTCTGTGCATAAACTCTGGCATTTTGGAATGGTCACTCAAGCAACTAACAGAAGGATCTGTAAGATGATGCATGTGGAACTTGGGGTGAGGGTGTAATGTACAAGTCATTGATTTCCATATTTCTGTAGGAATCATATCTTAGACAATAGTGCCCTTAATTGTTTTTGTTTTACTAGGAGCATTTTGGACTTGCGTAAGAGTAATAAGAAATGTGCTTCATGGGAATGGTGAATTGTTGGTAGGACAGTCATCCTTTGCCTACCTCTTGTATGATGTAATAACGAATAATGTATACTTAGTTCAGAAGGTACTAAGGATATAATTCAGAGGGCAGCTTTACAAACAAGAACAATGGGTAAAGTATGATATTCATATAATGAATGCAAAGTGAAAGTTACTTGATGTAAAGATAGGATTATTTTTTTTGGGGGGGGGTGTCATGTAGTATGTACGAACTTACCTATATGGAAGCTCTTCTGTTGAGATGTACACATTAGTCTCTTGCAACATACTTAAAACTGTCTAGATCCAGTTGGTGTCAGTAGGCTCTATAAAGTATGATTTAGTTTGCAATGACCTTTCCAGTTTCTGCTCCTT